GGGCTAGCGGGGAAGGAGTTGAGTACTTTTGTGGGGCGCGCACTGAGCAGTCCTGCCCAGGTGCCCCTCGGGCCGCCCCAGCCCCCTCCAGGCGGGAGAACTGACAGTGCCTTCGCTCCCAGCAGGAATCCCGGGCAACAGTGTATCCTTCGTGGCTACCAGGGTCAACTTCAGGAGGGGAGCCTTGTTTAACTTGTTACACTTCGACAAAAGAGAAACCTCGCCTCATCCGGGGAGGGCTGCGGGCACCGCCTGGGCTGGGCCTGATCCCTCCGGCTCCCACCCCCAACTTCCTCTAGCCCCCTGAGTTACGCCGCCACCCCCCTGGGCCCACAGCCTTTCAGATCTAAGTTTTTGGCTCCCTCCCCTGTGCCTCTGCCACTGACTCCCAGCGGGACATCAGCCCGGGTCTCTGTGCTACTTCGGAAGCTGGGGAGCCAGGGCAGCAGAGCTGCAGTGTTCACCAGGGACCCATCATTGAAAGAGGAGAGCTTATTTGTGCTTCTAATTGGTCTGTGTTTAAAGACACAGAAGCAGGTAGGAAGTAGAAGGGAGCTGGAGTTTAACTAATAGTTTTCTGACGTGGAACTTGGATGCTTTGACAAAGAGAGGCTGAAGCAGCCCACTTGCTTGGTTAAGCTGCAGGAGAATAGAGGCCTAGAGGGGTCCTTGTTTGTCAGGGAGCTCAGGGTGGCACTACCTGGAATGGTGCCAAGCCCCTAGCTGAATTGTTAAACTCAACTAAGCCTGGAGAAACTGGGGCAGTCTCTGACTAAGCTGGGCTTCCTGGGGGTTGGTGCCATCTGCTGTCTCCATTCACCCAGGAACACAAGAGGAGAATGGGAGGGCCCTGAGGACCAGCATGGAGTTGAGTGTGCCTGGATTGTCTTGTTCCTGTTTGTACCCTTAGGACTTGGTACAGCTGCCAGGGCCAGGACATAGACTTCCCCTAAAGACCTCAGAAATGAACTAATTCGTTCTATAATCCAGTGATTCTGCTGGATACCAGGACTAAATCATTGCTACCCATTCAAGCTACTACATGGGCTAACACTAGCCTTCATCCATCCCTCTCAGCTCCAAATCTGCTGATCCCTCATTCCTCTGTTCATTCAACAAGTTATTCATTCATTTGCCAAAAACTGAATGTCCACTGCATTCCAAGTACTGGGGATATAAAGGTGGGTAGGCTCTGGTGTCTGCAGTGCATAGCTCCCAGTCTAGTGGGAGGAGACAAAGAGGTGAAAATGGAATGCTATGAAAGCAGAGTTCCCCATAGGAGAGACAAAGACTTAACAGAAGTGACATTTAATCTGGGTTTTGAAGAATGAGTAGGAGCTCACCAATCAGGAAGGATGGAAGGCATTCCAATAGAAATCGTCTTGCAGGAAGGAGAGGTTATAACTTTCAGGAAATGGCAAGTTGCCTTGGATAGACAGAAACACAGCTGCAACTGATGAAAAGAAGAGTCTGGAAAGGAGGACTAGGGCCAGACAATGAAAGGAGCACTTGAATGTCAACATAGGGAATTTGGATATTATCCTGAAGTAAGTAGGGAGCATCAGAAAGCTTTTAATCAAATGACTTGCTACTTGGTAAAAACATCACTCTGGCCACATTATGCAATATTAGGCTAGAAGAGTTGAGGCATAGGGCAGAATAACCAGGCAAGAGGTGATGAGGCCCATACTGTGGCCATGATGTGGAGAAGATGGTATTTGCATATGCTGTAGAGGTGGGCTGGCCAGGATCCTTGAAGAGAGGAAGGGCTGGAGGGAGTGGAGGGAGTGGTCATAAACTCTTCCCCAGGCCTATGCTAACTTATCTGTAAATTCTAGATGTGACAGCATGGGGGTGGACTTTGACGTGAAGACTTTCTGCCACAACTTGCGGGCAACTAAGCCACCATATGAGTGCCCCGTGGAGACTTGCCGCAAGGTCTACAAGAGTTACAGTGGTATTGAGTACCACTTGTATCATTATGACCACGACAACCCACCACCCCCGCAGCAGACTCCTCTCCGTAAGCACAAGAAGAAGGGGCGCCAGTCACGCCCAGCCAACAAGCAGTCACCCAGCCCCTCAGAGGTATCACAGTCACCCAGCCGTGAGGTGATGAGCTATGCACAGGCCCAGCGCATGGTGGAGGTAGACCTGCACGGCCGCGTCCATCGCATCAGCATCTTTGACAACCTAGATGTGGTGTCAGAGGATGATGAGGCCCCCGAGGAGGCCCCTGAGAATGGCAGCAACAAAGAGAACACTGAGACGCCGGCTGTGACTCCCAAGTCAGGCAAGCATAAGAACAAGGAGAAGCGCAAGGATTCCAACCATCACCACCACCATAATGCTTCTGCCAGCACCACTCCCAAGTTGCCAGAGGTTGTATACCGGGAGCTGGAGCAGGACACCCCTGATGCCCCACCCCGGCCAACTTCCTATTACCGGTAAGGCCACCTCTGCCTCCTAACTCTGGAACACTGGTGAAGCAGGGCTCAGGAGCCGGAGAGCAGTGACAGGCAGCAGATAGGAGAATAGCAGGGATAAAAGGTAGCAGGAGCACACTCTTAGGGCAGTAAGAGGAACAGTACCCCAGCTAATGATGGTGGCACTTACTATAACTACTCCTTCATGTTATTCTCATAACCCACTTAGGTAGGTATTGTTCTCATTCCACAGATGAGGAAACTACAGAAAGGGGGCTAGACTTACCAAAAGTCAAAGGCCAGTAGGTAGCTGAACCAGTATTCAAACCCAGGTTCTTTTGACGCCAAAGCTGCACTATTTCCACTGTATCAGAGGATCCCTTCTCTGGTTCCTGAGCCTCTCCATTCCCTCACTGTGTGACTTTGGGAAAGGCATCTGGCTCTGGTATTCTAGTGACCCCATCTATAGAGCTGGTTTAATATTCCTCTGCTGGCTTAAAGGTAAAAGACTGGGACACTGATTTCATAAGGTCCTAAAAGCAATTTGTAAATCTGCAGGGGTAATTTTCCCATTGTTCTGTTATTTAGCATGCCCATCCTTTAGCATGCCTAAGCAGTGTTTCCATCAACTATATTTTGTAATCCTCCAATGGCCTTTTTATTTATCTCATTTAATTGTTTCTTGGTACCCCACTTCCTTCCAAAAGTTTGTCACAGTGGCTCTCTTTTATTTTCACAGTGGCTCTTAATAAAGTCGCAGGCATAGGCTAAATTCCTTGAACATGGGGTAAAAATGAAGGGGTGGGGCAATGTGGTCATAAAATTATATACAGAAAGCCTAGCTGAAGGACGGTACAAAAACCAAGTGTAAAAGTTACCTCTGAGAGTAGGCATCCAAGGCAAAAAAGGCATTCTGATGAGTTAGTTAAGGAGCAATCTTTGGTGTCAACTAATCAGAAGGCCTGATCTCTGAGAAGGACTTATAAAGGTTTTTATATGAAAAGTTTTTACCAAAAGTGCCATCCATATGATGATATACTAATGTCATAAAAGGCAAATCTGTGGGAACCCAAGTAATTTGGCTCAGTGTGTCATTTTTTTCTCTCGCCTGTTCTTGTGTTAGCCAGTCTCCTTCCTTTCTATCCAGCCCAGCTTCACCTCCTTCTGACTTTCCACTATCTCTTTTCTGTTAGACTGTCATGTCCATCCCCAACACAGAGGCCCCTCAGGGCCTGCCCTCCCTCCTAATGGCTCCCTCCTAATGGCGCTCTTTGCTCTGATAGGCAGCTTAGCCCAGCTCATTCTGCTCCTTTTCTTCCTCCTTCCACTCTTACCTCCTGGGGATCAGGTCTGTTCTCCAGGGCAGATTCATTTTTTCCTCCTGGGGATCAGGTCTGTTCTCTATCAGTTGGAGGTATGTTGCATCTAATTTATTACTGTTGTTAGCAAAACGGCCCTAGTTTGGGAAATTATTTGCTTTCCATGTAAATTTGGGAAGAATTGAGAATCTAATAACACCACTTTCTCTTGCTTGCATCTGAGTGCTTTCTTGAGGGGGAGTGGGAGGGTGGAGTGTCAGCTGGTGAGCCAGGAATTCTACATGACATGCAACCTACCTTATCTGTGCTGTAGCCTGTAATCTGGATGCACTGTGGAAGTGTGTTATGCACCATCAGGTTATGTCTTGGCAGAGAAAAGTTTTGGAGCTGTTTTCAAGGTCTGGAAGGGGCCATACGGTTCACACTATCTCTGAGCCACACCCTTTTTCAAGGATGAGGGCATTGTAGTCACCTTTGGGAAGAGGTAAAGGGCTAAGGAATAAGTTGCTTCCTATAGACATAGCATTTAAGTCTCTCTCTTCCCTTCCACCCCCAAAATACCTTTCAAATGAACAACACTGGGAACCTGTTTCTGTGTGGTAAATCAAACATGGTTCTTGCCTCTATCCTATGGAGAAGTTCAACACATATAAACAGCTATAATCGAAGCAAGGTGCTTGGTCAGGGTTATACAAAAGCTAATGATAAACCTAACATTTATTGAGTACTTACTGCATGCCAGGTACTGTTCCTAAGTACTTTATTTGTATTAACTCAATGCTTACAATAGCTATATGAAATAAGTCCATATTAACATCACCACTTTAAGATGAAGAAACCTAGGCCCAGGGAGGCTAGCTCACTTGCCTGCTATCATATAAAGATGGCTCCAGCCCGGCTGGCATGGCTCGGTGGTTGAGTGTTGACCTATGAACCAGGAGGTCACAGTTTGATTCCTGGTCAGGGCACATGCCCAGATTGATCCCCAGTGGGGGTTATGCAGGAGGCAGCTGATCAATGCTTCTTCTGACTGGGTGGCTCAGTTGGTTGAAGCGTCCTCCCGTACACCAAAAGGTTGTGGGTTTGATCCCCGGTCAGGGCAAGTCTGGGAGGCAACTGATGGATGTTTCTCTCTCACATCTCTCTCCCTCCCTCCCTCCCTCCCTTCCTCCCTCTCTCTCTCCCCCCCTTCTCTCTTCCTCCCTGAAATCAATAAAAATATATTTTTAAAAATAAAATAAAATAAAGCATGGCTCCAGAGCCTATGTTTGCCTGGCCTGCTCTAGCACCAGAGCCCCATTTCCCTTGTGGAGAGAAGAGGTACAGCTTGCTGTGTGCCACTTGATTTAGCCCATTTAATTTTGTAATTCCATTTAATCCTGACAGCATCTTTGGGCATAAATATTATTATCTTAATTCTATCATCAATAAAACAGGTTCAGAAAAGAGCAGTGATGCCCTGAAGGTCACAAAGTAGCAGAGCCAGATTTTTATTTTTATTTTTTTCAGAGCCAGGATTTAAATTAAGGTTTGTTAGAAGCCAAAGCCCCATTCATTCTATTGTAGCTCCCTATAGCTTTACAATACTAGAGTCCAGGTGATCCAGAGCATGGTAAGGGTGTGGGGAGCCCAGTGAGTGCCCCAGGGTGGAGTCTGAATCCTAGCTTTGCCACTTCCTGGTTGTGTGACCTTTCTGTGTTGGGCAATTAATTAACTTCTCAAAACTTGAATTTCCTCATCTGCAAAATAAGGGCAATAAGAACATTGACCTTATGGCTGTGGTGAAAATAAATGTGGTAATTTAGCAAAATACCTGGCTCACAGTATATCTTAACTATTCTGATTGTTATCTCCCAATGCTATCCAGAGAACAAAGACAGACCTATAGTTTGAGGGAGCCCTGAGCTGGTGCTGGCAACAGCTGACAAGACCCACAGCAGCTCCATTCAGGACACTGCCAGCTGGTGCTAAAACAACTTACATATAATTTGCAAGTGACACCTGAGGAACTTCCTTCCACTGACTCTTTGTACTATCATCCAGATGGGTCCTATCTGCCCCATTTTTCCTCCCTTTAGGAATCTGGTTGAGCCTCTGCACCCCAAGGGAGGCTGTGTAGCAGGTAGGACATGAGGTTTGGAGTTGGCAGGCCTAATGCCACTTCCCAGCTTTACCACTTTCTCACAAGAGAGCTAGGGCAGGTGCAGTAACCTCAAAACTATGCTTCCTTTTCTGCAAAACAGGAATGATTACAGGACCTATAGTGCTTGGGGTTAAGGTAAGGATGGTATGAGACAACATATGTGAAGGTACAGGCCTGGCCTAGAGTAAATATTTGGCAAATGTAACACACTGTCTTTAAGGGAGGAAAAACTCAACTATATGATGCTGAGCTGCCTGTGTGCACTGCAGGTACATTGAGAAGTCAGCAGAGGAGCTGGATGAGGAGGTAGAGTATGACATGGATGAAGAGGACTACATCTGGCTGGATATCATGAACGAACGACGGAAGACGGAGGGTGTGAGTCCCATCCCGCAGGAGATCTTTGAGTACTTAATGGACCGGCTGGAGAAGGAGTCCTACTTTGAGAGCCACAATAAAGGCGACCCCAATGCACTAGTGGATGAGGATGCTGTGTGCTGTATCTGCAATGATGGTGAATGCCAGAACAGCAATGTCATTCTCTTTTGTGACATGTGCAACCTGGCTGTGCACCAGGAGTGCTATGGCGTCCCCTATATCCCTGAGGGCCAGTGGCTGTGCCGCCGCTGTCTACAATCACCCTCACGTGCTGTGGACTGTGCCCTGTGCCCCAATAAGGGTGGTGCCTTTAAGCAGACAGATGATGGGCGCTGGGCCCATGTGGTGTGTGCCCTGTGGATCCCTGAGGTCTGCTTTGCCAACACAGTCTTCCTGGAGCCAATCGACAGCATCGAGCACATCCCGCCAGCTCGCTGGAAGCTCACCTGCTACATTTGCAAACAGCGGGGCTCAGGGGCCTGCATTCAGTGCCACAAAGCCAACTGCTACACAGCCTTCCACGTGACATGTGCCCAGCAGGCCGGCCTTTACATGAAGATGGAGCCTGTGCGGGAGACAGGTGCCAACGGCACCTCCTTCAGCGTCCGCAAAACAGCCTACTGTGACATCCATACACCCCCAGGTTCGGCTCGCCGGCTGCCTGCCCTGTCCCACAGTGAGGGTGAGGAGGAGGAGGATGAGGAGGAGGATGAGGGTAAGAGTTGGAGTTCAGAGAAGGTCAAGAAGGCCAAGGCCAAGTCCCGGATCAAGATGAAAAAGGCACGAAAGATCCTGGCAGAGAAGAGGGCAGCAGCACCTGTGGTTTCAGTGCCCTGCATTCCACCACACAGGTATGTGGGGAGCAGTGGACAGGTTGGGAAGAACAAACCTCCTGGAGACTGATAGCCCCCTGAGTGAAGTGACAGGGTTGGGTTATCTTCTGCCTATCAGGAGCTATGTAGAAGTTTAAAAAAAAATCCAAAAGAGATTAGCTATAACAAGTCACCTGACTCTTACATTAGGAGCCAGAAACTTCCCAGTTTTATCTGGCAGACCTAACATATATTTTAAACTGCTCTTCACTTTGATGGTGTGGTTTAAGTTAGGAAGAAAGAGAATGTAATAGCTACCAGCCACAGAAGAAGAAATAGTCTGACTCTGAAAGGAGAACTGGAATGAAAAGGGGGGAAGGAAATGCTTAAGGAGTCACAAAGTAATTACTGCCACTGTGAATCCAAATGAGGGCTGTGATCAGTTATTTTTAACTCTTACTTTACCTAGTCAATTTCTATACTGTACCTTGTAACGCTCAGTGTGAGTTGGGTATCCCAGGGTCAAATAGAGCAATCTTAGGAGCCAAACTCCCTGACCCCCTGGGGAACAGGGCAGGGTTAGGGATCTGGATTAGTGCTGGGAGTTTGGCTTCCTGTCTGCTGAGGTGCCATTGATGGCACTGTTTGCTCTTTGCCTTAAGCCTGATGTCACAAACTTTTTGACAGTAGACTAGCTAGACACCCTTGTTTTACATAAGAAAATTTGTTATCCTGCTTCCTAGGCTCAGTAAAATTACCAACCGCCTAACAATCCAGAGGAAGAGCCAGTTCATGCAGAGGCTGCACAGCTACTGGACACTGAAGCGGCAGTCACGGAACGGGGTCCCGCTGTTACGCCGCCTGCAGACACATTTGCAGTCTCAGAGGAACTGTGACCAAGTTGGGGTACTGTGTCATATTCCCTGTGGGCTCTAGGAACTAATACCAGGGGGTAAGGATCAAGATTTGTAGCTATATGCCCTAACCAGTTTGGATCAGTGGATAGAGCATCGGCCTGTGGACTGAAGGGTCCCAGGTTCAATTCCAATCAAGGGCACATGCCTAGGTTGCGGGCTTGAGCCCCAGTAGGGGGCGTGCAGGAGGCAGCCAATCAGTGATTCTCTTTCATCATTGATGTTTCTATCTCTCTATCTCTCTCCCTTTCTCTCTGAAATCAGTAATACATATATATGTATGTGTATGTGTATATGTGTGTGTGTGTGTGTGTGTGTGTATAAATATATATAAAAAAATTTGTAACTATAGCATCCAGTGTCTGAGAGCTTAGACTGTTCCCTTTTTTAAGCTAGCCTTCAAACCAGGCTCAGGAAGAAATTTTTTTTCTTGAGAGGGGGCGTGGAAGGGAATGGCAGGGGCATGCTTCCTGGAGGAGAGGGGGAAGGGAATGGAAGGGGCATGCTTCCTGGAGGGAGAACCAGGAAGAAATTCTTACAAATTATCTACTTGTAGAAGGGTACTGTTCCTATGTGTTTTTTCATTTACTCAACAAGTGTATACCAAGCATTGGCACAGGGGACACCTAGGTTGAGGAGCTCCCACTTGAGCTGGCATACCTGCCAGTAAGTTCCTGTGCCCCCTCCTTTGGCTTTACCTGCCCTTAGCCCCAGTTTTCTGGGCTATCCTCTCCTCTGCCCTTTCCTCTGACTCCCTCATCATCTTCTGACTCCCTTTTTGCTTCTACAGAGAGATTCTGAGGATAAGAACTGGGCCCTCAAAGAACAGCTCAAGTCCTGGCAGCGGCTCCGGCATGACCTAGAGAGAGCTCGGCTGCTGGTAGAGCTGATTCGCAAGCGGGAGAAACTCAAAAGGGAGACGGTGAGTGCTCCTGGGCCAGCTCTGTTTTCCAGAGGAGAAAGCATATGTGGGAGAAGGAAAAGCATGTGTTGTCTAGCCAGCAAGTAATAGGGTTGATGCTCAGTGTGCTCTCGGGCTCACCAGAAACAGAATGTCAGAGGAGAGAATGAATGGAACTCTTAATTATGTGATACAGGTAGCTCGTGCTGTAAGTTAAATCAAGGAAGGGAAAGGCCAGAGTAGTTGGGGAGTTTCACTGGGTGGGGCGTTGTAGAACATAGACCTGAGTGAGTACACCCAGCTGTTGGGGGTGGGAAGGAAGGCGAATTCCCAAACCAGCTTTGACCATCTTCTCAGACCTCTACCAAGGGACTGGCCTGGGCCTGGCTGATTGGGCCTTTATGTGTGTCAGATCAAGGTCCAGCAGATTGCCATGGAGATGCAGCTGACCCCTTTTCTCATCCTCCTTCGCAAAACCTTGGAGCAGCTCCAAGAGAAGGACACAGGCAACATCTTCAGCGAGCCGGTCCCTCTGTCTGAGGTAACCGAATTGGACGAAGTAAGAATCCCTTCCCCTCACTCCACCTTCTTTCTGTTCCTCTCCCAGTTGGACCCCTGCTGCAGATCTGGGCCAGGGACTAGGAGGGGACCTTGAAGAGAGGGGCTTGGTGGCTCTGGGGCTCCAGGATGAACTGGAGCCACATGCATCACCTGGACTCTGTCTTGTCCCTTTCATACTACAAGTGCCCAGAATGGGAGGCAATCTGCACTCCCCAGAGGCAGGGACTGAGTCTGCCAAATGAATAATCACAGGGCAGGAAGACACTTTCTGGGTGCTGACCCCTAGAACGGAGACTTTAGAAGGCTCAGCACCTAAAGAACCAGCTCTGAAGCCCTAGGTTCTGATTGGCAGACTCTTCTTTCTAAAAGGTATAAAATGAGAGGCCTAAGGCAGCAGTCTCCTTATAAGTCTTAATGATAAGCAAAAAAGAGCTATAGGAATGCAAGCTCGTATTACTTCCAGAGGACTCCCCTAGCTATTTTCTTGTTGAAGCCTCATACGGCTGTAGGAGGTGGATTTGGCAGTAATTTTATCACTTTTCCAGGCCAGGAAAAGAAGGTCCAGAGAGGTTAAGAGACTTGCCAAGATCACACAGCTTGTGACTGGTAAAGTCAAGACTGAATCCAGCTCTCTTTTTCCCTGAGCTATACGCCTACCTCTAACTGGTGGGAGGAGGTTACTGGATGCATTTCAAGGGGTAGTATTAGGGGCAGGGGTTCAGGGGGAATGAGAAGCATATCTCCACTTAGCTACACCTACCCTGTTCTCCCAGGTACCTGACTACCTAGACCACATCAAAAAGCCCATGGATTTTTTCACCATGAAGCAGAACTTGGAGGCTTATCGCTACCTGAACTTTGATGATTTTGAGGAGGACTTCAACCTCATCGTCAGCAACTGCCTCAAGTATAACGCCAAGGACACCATCTTCTACCGGGCAGCGGTGCGGCTCCGTGAGCAGGGTGGTGCTGTGCTCCGCCAGGCCCGGCGCCAGGCAGAAAAAATGGGCATTGACTTTGAGACGGGCATGCATATCCCCCACAACCTGGCTGGAGACGAGGCCCCACACCACACTGAAGATGGTGGGTGATGAGTCACACACACATAAGAGGCCAATGCTAGGGATGAACTGCTTTCCAAAAGTCCCCTCCTGGGAGCAGGCAGTGTAGGTGGGAAGCACTTAGGCTGAGCAGTGACAAGCTATCCCCAGGAAGCCAGGCTGGTGAATGGATAGCAATGCCTGTCAGTTCACATCTTGGTTCTGCTATTTTATGGCTGTTCCTGGTGAGGAGCTGAGGGGAGAAGGGTTTTATTTTTCTTTTCTTTTTAAAATATATTTCTTTATTGATTTCAGAGAGGAAGGGAGAATGAGAGAGATAGAAACATCAATGATGAGAAACACTGATCAGCTGCCTCCTGCACGCCCCCCACCGGAGATCAAGCCCGCAACCCAGGCATGTGCCCTTGGCTGAAGTCGAACCTGGGACTCCAGTCCGTAGGCTAATATCCACTGAGTCAAGCCTAGGGCTCTTTTCTTTTCTTCTTATTAATATATTTATATTGATTTCAGAGAGAAAGGGAGAGGTAGAGAGAGAGAGAAACATCAATGATGAGAGAATCATTGATCGGCTGCCTCCTGCACGCCTCACACTGGGGACTGAGCCCGCAACCAGGCATGTGCCCTAACCAGGAATGGAACCGTGACCTCCTGATTCAACCATCTAGTGACACCGACCGGGCAAGAGTGGGTTTCTTACTGCCTGTCCAGATTTAAGGGGGCCAAAGAGCTGCTCTGAATCTGACCTTTTCCCCCTATCCCCACTCCTAGCAGCAGAGGAGGAGCGGCTGGTCCTGTTGGAGAACCAGAAGCATCTGCCAGTGGAAGAGCAGCTGAAGTTGTTGCTGGAACGGTTGGATGAAGTGAATTCCAGCAAGCAGAGTGTGGGCCGCTCACGGCGCGCAAAGATGATCAAGAAAGAGATGACAGCGCTTCGGCGGAAGCTTGCCCACCAGCGGGAAACTGGAAGGGATGGGCCTGAGCGCCATGGCCCTTCCAGCCGGGGCAGCCTGACACCTCACCCAGCAGCCTGTGACAAGGATGGGCAGACAGACAGTGCCGCTGAGGAGAGCAGCAGCCAGGAGACAAGCAAAGGTCTGAACCCCATAACAAGGTGGACCCCAAAGCAAATTAGACTTTGACTCTGCAGCACACACTCAGCCCCTGCCATCCCCAAGGCAGAGGTCTTTCCTGCACAGCTAGCTGTACTTTCTCCCTCATTCCCCAATCAGGGGCCTCTTAGCTGTATCTCTGGCTATTTGTACAAGAGACACTGTTCCCAATTCCATGACCCTCAAATCATCTCCCCAACAATAGCTGGAGTATTGGACTTATACACCCAGGGCATACCCTGGATGACATCTGCCCTTCCCACATCAGGCCCCTCACCAACTTTCCTTCTCTCTTTCTCTGCTCCAGGCCTGGGTCCCAACATGTCCTCAACCCCCGCACATGAGGTGGGCAGGAGAACCTCAGTTCTGTTCTCCAAAAAGAACCCGAAGACAGCTGGACCGCCCAAGAGGCCGGGCCGGCCCCCCAAAAACCGGGAGAGCCAGATGACCCCCAGCCACGGAGGCAGTCCTGTGGGGCCCCCTCAGCTTCCCATCATGGGCTCCCTGCGTCAGCGCAAGCGGGGTAGGAGCCCCCGGCCCAGTTCGAGTTCAGACAGCGACAGTGATAAATCCACAGAAGACCCCCCAATGGGTGAGCCTCACCACCCAGTACCCCAAGAGAGTGAGCAAAGCTACCATCTTTCCCAACATAACTTCCACCTATCCCTTCATTTTCCCATAATATCTCAGAGCTAGAAGGGCCCTTAGGAATCATTTAATTCAATCCCCTCATTTTACAGACTGGGAAACTGAAACCCAAAGACACTGATCCAGCTAGATTCCCATCCAAGCCCCCCTCCATTGTATCACTTCACCTTTTCTCTTCTCATCCTCCTTGGTGATCTCCTGCCCTTTAAGCCATTTGTGTCCTAAGGTCTATAACTGCTGAGGGAAGTGTAAGGGGTGGGGCAGGGCTGTGGCCAGCTGTGGTGGACACCACCCAGAGCTAGCTCTGCTGGCCAAGGTTGGAGGAATATTCCAGCACAGAAAGGGAAGCCAAGGCTCTTAAGTACCTCTTACCCCCATGTCATCTCTGATCTACATCTTCCTGACCGATTCCTTCCCTCCTCCCCTTCCCCCCAACCAAGACTTACCAGCCAATGGCTTCAGCAGTGGAAACCAGCCAGTCAAGAAGAGTTTCTTGGTATATCGTAATGACTGCAGCCTTCCCCGGAGCAGCTCAGACTCTGAGTCCAGCAGCAGTAGCAGCAGCAGTGCTGCCTCAGACCGGACCAGGTACCGGCCCTCCAGATCAAGGCCTGCCTCTGGGATGCCCTTCTGGGTTTCCCTATGGGAAGTGGGGTGGCAGCCATCTCAGCCTAGATTAAGATGGCTCAAATCCAAGGTTCTCTGCAAAATAAATGAAATAGATGAGCGTATCACCATAATGGAATGGAGGGAACCATACAGGGTTCAGCTGATGTTTTAGAGCAGAGGGCATAAACTCTTGCTTTGTGGCCTGGATTTGGCCTACAGACATATTTTGTTTGGCCAGCATGGTGTGTTTTTAAAAATGAATTCAGAAGTACCACATAAAATTCCCAGTTTCTGTGTTCTTTTTAAAAACTAGGTCTGGCAAATCTGGCCAGTATTGCTTTTAGACAGGGTATACATTCATCATCACCACTGCTAAACCCAGCCCACATCAGTCAAATCACTGCCAAGCCACTGAGAGCATTTGGATTTGAAAATCTTTAAGTAGTTTCTGCTTTCCAAAAATCTTAGACGCTGGGGGTTTAAAGAAGAAAGGACACCCACCATGCCATTCTCCACTCTTCTTTGAGCTGAGCTCCCTTTGTTTTGTCTACAGCACAACACCCTCAAAACAAGGCAGGGGCAAGCCCTCCTTCTCTCGGGGCACATTCCCAGAGGACAGCAGTGAAGATACCTCAGGCACTGAGAATGAGGCCTACTCCGTGGGTACTGGCCGCGGCGTGGGCCACAGCAGTAAGTACCCTCGCCCAAGGCCAGGGATGCTGGGGCCCCAGTGTCCGGGCCTTACCAGCCCCCTGTCTGCTGATCTGCCCCCTCTCTCCCATTCCTGTGAAGTGGTAAGGAAGAGCCTGGGCCGGGGAGCTGGCTGGCTGTCAGAGGATGAGGACTCCCCGCTGGATGCTCTGGACCTTGTGTGGGCCAAATGCCGAGTTTATCCATCGTACCCAGCTCTGGTAGGCTTCTCCTTTTTTCTGTCATATCCCTTGCCTGTCAACCCCAGAATGCAGACTTACAATTAGTAGACTTTTGCTACTCTCTGCTGAGCTGCAGAGTACAAGGGTCTTTGGCAGGTAGAGAGTTAGAGGTCCCTGATTAGTTTCTCCAGCTTTCCCTTTTCCTTCCCATGACCCCTTGGGCTCTGAAGTAATTCAGCATAGGAAGAAGGTCAGCATTGCAGTAGCATGATAACCTTTCCATGTCTCTACTTCAAAGGAGTCTCCAAATTCTTAGGTAGAATAAGCCTTGGGGAAGAGGGGACTGAACCAAACCAAGGTCTTACTATTCCTTCAGATCATTGATCCAAAGATGCCCCGGGAAGGTATGTTCCACCATGGGGTTCCCATTCCTGTGCCCCCACTAGAGGTGCTGAAACTTGGGGAGCAGATGACCCAGGAAGCCCGAGAGCATCTCTACCTCGTCCTCTTCTTTGACAACAAGCGAACCTGGTAAGGGAGGAGGGGAGCATGTGGTGACTCACAGCCACAAATACAACCCTGGAAATGGGGGCAGACTGCGAGGAAATTCCAGCAACAGACAGGCTGGGCTGTCACCAATCAGTGGGGGAGGGACTTAGGCCTTTAAGAAAAAGTCTGAGTAACTGATTGGGCACAGCTGACAAACAGCTGTGACTAGAAAACAAAGAACCATCAGTGACTGTGACAAATATGGGAGTGGCTCCCCACCCAGATCGAGGTGATTTCTATACTTAGTTTTCCCACCTCTGCCTCCATGGTGACAAGATTAGGATAAAGCAGGCATAAAGTCAGACTCTGAATCCCTCTTCTGTCTCGTTTACATAATGTAATCTTTTTGTTAACTATATGCAGAGGATTTTTAATACCAGTAAAGTCTGCCTGGAGCCTGTGGGACAGGGTACTATTTCAGGTTAGGTCAGGGCTCCTTTTTGCACCCATAAATACATTGTGGTTACCGCTCAGTGTGACAGTTGACTGGGCTCTTTTATCGCTGTGAACAGTTATTTGAGGGCAGGGAACCCCAGTGCCCACCAGAGCCTCGTTCTCAGGAGGTGTTTTTAAATGAGTGAGGAAGGCTGGTGCTTATTGCTCTCCCAGAGATGACTTAATTGATCCTCACTTCGTCTTGTAGGCAATGGCTGCCTAGGACTAAGCTGGTTCCTCTGGGTGTGAACCAGGACCTCGACAAGGAGAAGATGCTAGAGGGCCGCAAGTCTAACATCCGCAAATCAGTGCAGATTGCCTACCATAGGGCTCTGCAACACCGCAGCAAGGTCCAGGGCGAGCAGAGCAGCGAGACCAGTGATAGTGACTGATACTGCCCAGCACAGCCCAATCTACGGTGCCCTGCCACCTCTCTCCCCTTTGCTCGCTGTCCTGGAGTGGCACCGGCCTCTGCACTGACTCATTCCTGGTCTTGGGGCCAGTCTCAGGGGAAGCTGGGTGGGGGAGGTCCCTCCTGCCCTGAGTGCAGCTGGACTGTACAGAACACTCCAAGGGCCCATGGTAGCTCTGTGCAAAGAGAGGGGAGGTCCCACAGGCCAGAAAGCTCCAGAGACCTCACAGCATTGCAGTGCAGGGTGGTGGGCCAAGGTTAGGACACTGCATAAAACAGGCCATCCCATCACCTCTGCCTGCTCATGCCAGGAGAATCCATAACTGCCTAGTGGCCTGAGGCCTGTGCAGGTGATATGGTGACCGGGCATCCGCCCTGCCTAACAGTGGGATTGATGTCTGTCCAGCCTGGAAGAGGGGCACTAGGTGACCCCCTCCCCTGCTTTTGTAAATACTGTAATTAGTGGAGAATTTAAATTATTCTCATTTGTAACTGCGTTTCCGGTCGCGCCAGAGTCATTTGGTACTAAAAAGACTGGGGCCTGTCCCCTTTCCCCTCCTTCCCATAGATTCCCCCACCTTTCAAACTGGTTTGTATTTATTTCAAAAGAAGAAAATATATTGATTCTTAGAAAATAAATTGTTTGGAATTCTTGGTTCTTGCCTTCTGCCAGGGCAAAGGGAGTTTCTGTTCCCCAGGGATGGCAAATAATTGGGCCCAAGTGGTTGCTGGCTGCTCTGCATATTGTATTTGTAAGACAACAGCAAAGATAATATGACAGCTCTCATTTCTCATGCACTTACTGAGTGTCAGTACCTGTGCTAGCTCCTTTAGATAGTTTCATGTAATCCTTGCATTAACTATAGGAACGGTTAATAATAGGGTGGTTATTTCCACAAAGACATAGATTTTGAAAAATTAAGTAACTTGCCTAAGTTCTCACTAGGAAGTTGCCAGAAAGCTCCAGAGACCTCACAGCAGAGTAGTGCAGGGCGGTGGGCCAAGGTTAGCACCCTGCATAAACAGGCCAGGAGAAGCCATACTGCCTAGTGGCCTGAGCCTGTGCAGGTGGTAAGGTGAACGGGCATCCGCCTCCCAGTGGGAATGACGCTGTCCCACTAGCATCTGAACTCGGGTCTGTTGTCTGCAATTTAACCAGCACGTGAAGCTGCTAGAGGAAGAGTCAGCTGCGCATTCTTTCATGAACTTCGGATGTTTAAAGTTCTTCAACGGTAGGATTGTCCAAGTGTTTCAGAGTCACTAGAGTTGTGACTTTCCCCTTCTTAACTGGGGACAGAGCGAGACTATAGACTGTTGCTGTTCTTCATCCATTCCCAACCCTGGCTCCTTTTCTGATTCAGACATTTTTTGAAGGAATGTCTTCCAAGTGCTAGGCACCTGTGGGCTGGTGTGCCAATGGATGAGACAGTCACAGGAAGCAGTTGCGCAGGGTTTTGGAGCTACTGAGTGGATGTGCGACAACAGCGTGTCTGATGATACCAAGTTGCTGGTACTCCCTGCGAGGTAATGGGGGTGGGGCACAAAGAAATCAGCGGTAAATCTCGCCCTTCAGGAATCTGCAGTCTAATCATCAATAACCAAAAATCACTATGCTAGAAGGAAAAAAAAAAAGTTGCCGGATAAAAGCACAGGTCTAGTTTTTTGTGACTTTCTCCAGAAGGGAAGAAATTACATCTTTCCTGGGCTCAGCCAGCCAGCCGGCCCCGACAACCGGGCTAGGCAGACAGGCTGCCCCACGGCCACACGCTGGCGCTTGAACTTTGAGTCGCCTTTCCCAGCCCCTGAGAAGCCCCGACACAAGCCGCAATGGACGCGGCAGTGTGAGATGGGGAGGACGGAAGGAAAGTCCTCCCGACGAGAGAGCAGCGGAGGCAGGGACAGGAGGCCGATCTGGAGTCAGGCCTCGGAGTGAAGTCTGTGAGGAGGCCTAAGACCGGCGGGCGCGGAGACATTTCCTCAGGAGACAGGCGCTGTGGAGACTCCCCACAGGGCTCGGTGGGCTGGCGCTGTGTTCGGGTCCGGGTCCGGGTCCGATTCTCAGTGAAGAGGAGCTCATCGGAGGAGGACCTAGGTAAGCGAAAAGCAGACTAGAGAGGCGCGGTGGAGAAAGGCTCTCTGAAGATGGCGGGGGATAGGATTTGGTTGTGCGGGCCGGCAAGCCTGACGACATCAGCCAGTGAGGACCGGGGGCCTGAGGGCCCCGGCCGGTGGGGACACGCTGGCCTGCCTAATGCGGAGGAAAGGGCCAGCGGCGAGCCCAGCGCGCGCTAACCGCTGAGAGGCCTCGGGAAGGCCCGCCCAGCGCCGCCACGCCCGTTCTCATTGGTGCCTCGTATTTCCCCGCGGATTGGCTACCTCTAAAACGGACTTGCGCCCTACTTCCGGTGAGGCTTCTCAGGAAAGGCCGGAAGAGTGCGCTTGCGCGCGCGTCCCAAACTACGGCCGCTTCGGGGTACAATGGTGAGCGCGCTGGGGCATGGGGGGCGGGAGGTTTAGGGCAGAAGGTGGGACAGAGTGGAGGGGGCGGGACTTTGGCGGGTGGTAAGGGGCGTGGCCTTCGAGGAATGGTAGAAGGAAACTGGGCGGACCTTATACAAACATTGAGAGGCGAGGATTTCGTGGAGTTGGACGAGGCCTTCGGTGAGGGAGGCCTTTGGTTCGTGGTCTCTTCGTGGGCGTGGTCTGCTGGTAGCGAGTAGATCTGGTTCTGAGTGGGCGGAGCCTGATACAGAAATATTAGCCGGCTCCCTTTTGCCTGGTTAGCATGGGGCATCGCACTCTGTCCTCCGTCCCGGCCCTCTGGGCCTCCATCCCCTGTCCACGCTCTGAGCTGCGCCTGGACTTGGTTCTAGCTTCTGGACAATCCTTCCGGTGAGTGACCTTAGCCTGAAGTGCAAAGTTGGGTGTGATGGAAGAAACCTCAATGTATGAAAGAGGAAATTGAGGCAGGGGTGGAGAGCCTGTTACCTTTTTTTTTTTTTTTTAATAGCCGGTGATTGTTGTAAGGGTGGGAAAATAGTTGGACATAACAAGCCTGTGCAGTGTTGTGAGGATCACATGATATAACTGATGTAAAATAAAGCATTTTTACTTTACAAATGATAAATCAGTTTTATGTATGGAAAGGTTGTGGGATGGGAGGGCCCCAAAGGTTGCAAGAAGGGAAACTGCGTGCTAGGGCCCTGTGCCTGGGGTCTCAGGTGGAAGGAGCAAAACCCTGCGCACTGGAGTGGCGTGCTGGCCGACCAGGTATGGACACTGACCCAGACCGAGGAGCAGCTCTACTGCACTGTGTACCGAGGGGAAAAGGGCCAGGCTGGCAGGCCCACACCAGGAGAGCTAAAGGCCCTGCGCCAGTACTTCCAGCTGGATGTCAGCCTGGCTCAATTGTATCGCCATTGGAGTTCCAAGGACCCCCACTTCCAAAAAGTAGCTCAGAAATTCCAAGGTGAGTACAGAGCCTGGGACAGGGTTTGGGTTGGGGTCATTGTAGTTTGGTTAGGTTACTCAGTTTCACCATCTGTAAAGTGGGGATTATATCTACCTCATAGGATTTTATGAGGATTAAATGAGCTAATACATGTAAAGTGTTTAGAATAGTGCCTGACACCTAGTAATTATTATTACTGTTATGATTGTCCTGCTGATCACCATCATGGAGTGACAAGGATATTGAGCCAAATTCTGGCTGTGTGACCTAGGGCAGGGGACATCATTCATTCTGTAAATATTACAGAGCATCTGCTATGTGACTGGGGATATAGCAGTGAACAAAGTGGACACAAATCCCCACCCTCATAGTGCTTACATTGTGGCTTATCTGTGGATTGGGATGATGACCCAGACCTCGAAAGATGCTATGAGGAATGATGTTGCTTTCTCTAACAACTTTGTCCCTCATTCCCCTGGGAGCCTACATGCCTAGGATCTGAGGGTGAGAGGAGGCCACTCCTGACAACAGGTGCTTCTCTTACCCCCTGCCTTTCCGATCTTCAGGTGTTCGACTCCTACAACAGGATCCCATCGAGTGCCTTTTCTCCTTCATCTGTTCCTCCAACAACAACATTGCTCGCATCACTGGCATGGTGGAGCGGCTCTGCCAAGCCTTCGGACCTCGGCTCATCCAGCTCGATGATGTCACCTACCATGGCTTCCCCAGCCTGCAGGCCCTGGCTGGTGAGTAGGTGGGTGCCTGCCCCAATGCTAACAGCTTTCAGAGTCTGTTCAGTTCTCCCCTGGTCCCCATCTCCCATCTCAAAGCTTCTTGCCTTCCCAAAGACTGTCCTCATCCAGAATCACCCTGCCTGGTCCGATCAGCCCCAGACATACCTCACCCTCTATCTGTCCCTGAAATGTCAGCACCTCACTACTCTGTTTTTTGCCCCATGGTTTCAATGCCTCATCAGAAAAACATCCATATGCAGTGTGTAATAGGTTGGGGTTAAATGCATATGCTTTTTATTTTATTTTTTTAATAGGTTTTGGTTAAATGTGTAATAGGTTAGGGTTAAATGCATATGCTTTTTATTTTATTTTTTTAAGAGAAAGTTTATTTAGAAAGTCACAGAGGTAGAAGTGAGCTGTAAAAGAAATGGGATCAGGAAACAAGTTACAGAGGCAAAAGAAGGACCCTCGGAGCTTAGGAGAAAGAGAGAGGCAAGGAAAATGCACCTTGGCAGAAGTGGGTGAGGAAAGGCACCAGCGTGCTCCATAGAGAGAAACCTCTACACACATGTTCTGGAAAGAGAGTGCCTTAGTCTGAATCCCAACTCTGGCACTTATTTAGCCTCTCCTCTGTTTCTTCATCTGTGGAATGTGATAATAACTTATCAGAGTTGTCACAAGAGTTGAGTAAAAGAATACACATACTGCACCTAGTATATTGTTTGGCCTATGGGAAATACGCAGAAAATTCAAGTTGCTATCTCAGTGAATCCAACAATTTTGTATCCAGGAACACACATTCTTTACAGCAGTCCTGTGAGGCAAGTTTTACAGAGATAAGTATCTCTATTGGCAGAAGTGAGGACCAAGTTAGGGGAAGTGCTTGGGGAATGTATAGTAAGGAGACAGCCTGCCTGGAAAAAAAAAAAAGAATGTTTTTGATGCTTAGAAACCCAGTCTTGTACCTTAGCTTCCAGCTTAGTATTCATAAGAACTCAAGAAATTCATTCACCTCTTCAGGCTTCTCTTAACTTGTTTGTAGGATGGGGATAATAGTTCCTATCTAGAAGGGTGAGAGGGAATAAAGCAATCATGAAGCAGGTTTAGAGCACAGGAGTTGGTGTTTCAGATCCAGGTGCAGATCCCATCTCCACCGTGTCCTTTCTTCAAGTTACTTAACCTTTTTTAAGTCATCGTTTTGAAATAGGAAAAACATCTGTGAAATAGGAAAAACAGCCCAGCCAGTGTTGCTCAGTGGTTGGGTGTTGACCTATGAATCAGGAGGTCAGGGTTTGATTCCTGGTCAGGGCACATGCTCAGGTTGTGGGCTCGATCCCCAGTAGGGGTCATGTAGGAGGCAGCCGATCAATGATTCTCTTATCATTGATGTTTCTCTCTCTCCCTTCCTCTCTGAATTCAATATTTTTTTTAAAAAATAGGAAAAAATACAGTACTATTATCAGGGTCCTTGAGAAAAATGAGTGTGATAATGTATCCAAAGCACTTTGTCCGTATTTGATAACCAGCACTTGATCATAGAAGCTCTTGCTATTATTATGACTATTAGATCATGGGTGTGAACAGCCCTTTGGAAAGGTTAAGAAACTCAGTTGGCGAGTTCCTCCAGGGCAGCAAGCCCTTCTGAGTCCCTGCTCCAGTGTCCGACACATAATAGGTGTTCAGAAAACATTTGTACAGGGGTAGAACCCAGACCTTAACCCTGTCCTTTGCACATGCAAGTATCCCAGGGTCTCCCAGAGGGTGGTGAGGTGGGAGAGGGGTGCTTAGGAAAGCATTCCTGTGGGGTGGAGGGCTCACACTAGCCTGAGGACATAAAAGGATTTGAGGATGCCTGACCCTGCTCCTTTCCCCACCCTCCTACAGGACCAGAGGTGGAGGCTAAGCTCAGGAAGCTGGGCCTTGGGTACCGTGCCCGCTATGTGAATGCCAGTGCCCGAGCCATCCTTGAAGAACAGGGGGGGTTGCCCTGGCTGCAGCAGCTGCGCAAGGCCCCCTACGAAGAGGCCCACAAGGCCCTCTGCACCCTGCCTGGAGTGGGCACCAAGGTGAGGCCTCAAGGTGAGAGTGGTCTACCCTCAGACCACTCATGTAGAGAGTAACAGAGCAGGAGACAAGGCAGACCTGAGAGCTGGGTGCAGGCTCAGCTTCTGGAGGCAGAGCAGGAAGGAGAAACGATACAAGCAGATATTTTATTAGAGAAAATGCAAAAAGAGTATAAAGGACATTACCCTCTGAATGCATTTGTAGAAAGGCCATTTGTTCAGGTGGACATATACACTGCTATATATATACACAGAAATTTCCTGAAGGAATCACAGGAAACTTAATAGTGGTTACCTTTGGGAAGACACATAGGAAGGTATTTCTACTTTTATTCTTCTTATGAATTATATGTACTTATGAAATTTTTTCTTTAATTTCAACAAGAGGATTGTGAATCCGACATTTATTGTGTTCTTCTGTAAACTTCTCTGCAGTTTTGTTTAAAGAACTTTTTTTTAATGGACTCTGAACTTCACTCTAACATTAAGTCTTGTTCTGCTTCTTCCTAGCCATGTAACTTGAGCCAAGTCACTTTACCTTGCAGAACCTCAGTTATCTGCAAAATGAATATAGTACCAGCTTCTTTCCAGGTTATGAGAACTTGGCCTACGTTGATATTCATGCAGTAGCACTCTCATCACATCTGTATTTAAAATTATTAATAGTTGGTATATAATGATTGAGAATATAGAATAATAATAACCTCAGAGTGGAGGAGGAAGTATAGCTGGCTTTGGGGCTAGAAGCAGGATGCTGCCTGAATCCTGCCATTCCTCCTCTTTTTCTGTCAAAGGTGGCCGACTGCATCTGCTTGATGGCCCTAGACAAGCCTCAGGCCGTGCCCGTGGATGTCCACGTGTGGCAGATTGCCCAACGTGACTACAGTTGGCACCCCACAACAACCCAGGGCAAGGGTCCAAGCCCCCAGGCCAACAAGGAACTAGGTAAGGAGAGAGGGAGATGCCAGGGCTGGCAGTAGGCTGAGGTGGTAGAAACTTCTCACCTCTCTCCCTAATACCCCACCACTGTGGATGGGGAGTGGGAGGGGCCAATTTGTTTTGCCTCATTATCTCTGATTTAGGAAACTTTTTCCGGAACTTGTGGGGACCTTATGCTGGCTGGGCTCAAGCAGTGAGTATACCTAGGCTTCCTTTCTTCCAGCCTAGACCCCATAGGACTTCTCCCCAAGCCCTGGCCCAGGGACTCTTCTACGGCCTCTGCCCTAGGTGACCCTAAAGGATTCTCTACCCTCCATCCCCAGCCCTGACTCTAGTGGATTTGTGTTGCCCTGGACCTGCTCCCCAGTAATTCCATTTCTCCCCACACTACCACCAGCCTACCAGCCTAAACCCAGTGTACCCTGTCCCCACATAGACTCTTCCCCCTGCCCCTAGGTGCTGTTCAGTGCTGACCTACGCCAACCCCACCAAGAGCCACCAGCAAAGCGCAGAAAGAGATCCACAGGGCCCGAAGTCTAGGTGGGGGCACAGGACAAAGGGATTCTCCCAATACCTTTTCCCTCCATTCCCCATACTCTCCTCCATCCAGACTCATGTGGGGAAGGGGGCTCCATGCAACTACCTCAGGGGCCAGACACCCTCAAACCAAGCAGTTTGCATAACAGTGTGGGGTGGGGGCGTTATCTGGGGAGACAAAGCTACCTTTGGTTTTATCCTCTTCCCTTTATTACAAGAAGGAACAATAAAATAGAAACATTTGTATGGAAAATGCAGTGGGGGAGTGGTAGGAAAAGGGGTGGGGTGGGGTTGGGTGGAACAGGGTAACCCCAGTTCAAGGAGAGAAGGGGAGCAGTCTGCCCCCAATCTCTCACACACAGGGGATCCTGACCCTGGATCCAGGGACCTAGAGTTGGGGGGACAGCCTGGGGGACATTTCCGGGCCCGGCTCCACACAGCAGTCGCGACAGCAGCAGCCAGCCACTGGCCCTACATGGGGAGAGAACATACTTGGCTATAGAAGCAGACCCTCCACTCCAGCCTGGGTGCCTCTTCATGGACCACCCATACCCTTCCACAGAGTCCTGGTCCTCACCCCCAGCTGCTGGTGTCAGCAGCTCCCCGTGGCTCGCCGTCGGTCCCTGCCCCTCCTGGCTGGTGCCCAGCTGTAGCTTCCTCATGTGCCGCACCACAGCCGTGGCATTGAAGGCTTGCTGTGGGAAGAGGGAGAGAAGGGACTTTTGAGAGAGTGGGAGATCATGGGGCAGGTCTGGCAGTGGGATTCTTGCAGTGGTTCTGTTATTTTCAGGTGTTATTGATTGATCCCCTAAAACCACCTGAAATATCTGCAAGCCTTTATTAAATTATATTCAGCCATATTACGTATTTACACACACATATACACACATATATAAAAAGTATATAAACAGATATGTAACTTTATATTTACATAATAGCAAACACAATATAGCATATTTCAGGCATTGTTCTAAACACTTTACATAGTAATTCATTTAATCTTCACGGAAATCTTTGAGGTGAGCACTACTAGTGTTACCATTGTCAAAGGAGGAAACTGAGGCACAGAGAGGTTAAGTAACTTTCCCAGGTGTGTATATATCGTTATTTAACATATCCCCTGAGATGTCTCCATAAAACCTTCAAATTCACCATGTCCAAAACCAAAGTAATCCCCTAAGACAAGTATCAGGCCAGCCCTGACGTCTCTCACATCAATATCCATTCTACCATCACTTCTTGTCAATCCCACCTCCTAATTGACTCCTGGACCAACCACTATTCTCTGTTCCTGTTGCCTCTGCTCAGGTCCAGCCCTCACTGTCTCCGGCCTGCCTCTCTGCCACATCCTCCTAAGGGGTCTCCAAGCCTTCACTCTGTGCCTCTCTCTGCATCCTGAGAGCCCTTTCTAAAGGGCAAATTCCTGCTGAAAATCCTTCTAGGGCTCCTCAGCATCGTTAGGATCAAGTCAGTGTTCCACTGTGGCATTCGAGACCCTAAGCAGCCTGGGCCTGCATCTCCAGCCTGGGCCCCACATCCCAGAAGCCCTCACTGCCCCCAAAGCCCTTCCAGTACAGCCACGCTTAGCACTGGCACTTCCTTGAATGTCTGCACTTTCTCTTGTTCTTGGCCCTTTGTACATTGGTTCCCTCTGCCTTAGACATTATTCTACTATGCCTGGCTAATTCCTACTCAGCTGTAGGTCTATAAGGCCATCGCCACCTTTATGCCCTTCCAGGACCCTGTAGGTTGGATTAGATGTCCCCCTAAGAATTATATACTGTTCTCCCTCTAGACTTGGAGGTCAGGGACCCTCACTGGAATAGAGTAGGTGCAGGGAACGTTGAATGAATGAAAGGTTCTTTGGTAAGCATCCTGAGCAGTTACTGTGTACCCGACTTGGTGCTAGGTGTTGTGCAAGCTGAGGCATGGTTGCGGGTGGGGAGGAATCCTGGGGAGGCTGGGACCCAGGACTAAGACTGTGGGCTCACCTTCCACTTGCTCTTGGCAAAGTTCTTCTTGATCTGCTCACTCACTGACTGGTGAATATTCTTATCTAGAGCCGTATCTCCTGCAATCCTAGGGTAAGGGTATGTGGAGGATTATCTGTGAAGGCAGAGGCAGGCCTGGGGGCCCCAGGCCCTACCCCAGTTCACAGCTCATGGAAGCTCTCACCATGGGTGCTGCAAGGCCTGCTCACAGGTGAACCTCTTCTCTGGATCCTTCTCCATCAAGTGCCTGATGAAATCTTTGGCTGAACCCCCAAGACAAAAGTAAAGACAGAAAGAGCATGGTAGTGCCTGCGGACACCACCAAAACAGAACCCACCCCCTCAGGTCTGGCCTGGTATCCAAGCAAGATGAGTGGCCAGATTTGTTCATGCACCGTCTCACCCCACCTGTTCTCTTTCTCTAAGCCCTCCACACGCCCCAGCATTCCAGCTCTCTCCTTTTTCCCTTAAGAAAAACTTGTTCTTAGAAGATTCTACTCAGTGTATTCACACTGATGTGCAAATGATTGATAATGGTTTCACAGGTTTGCCTCCTACTAGGAGGCACAAAAGGACAGATGAAAACATTTATGTGGTGTTTTAGGCATTAGGATGTCAGTGGAGAGGGGGGCGGTATTTTCAAAAATACTATGTTTGAAGACTGAATGAATGAATGCCTACAGGTTTCTCAGATCAGGGCCAGGCAGAGGGAAGAGCCTGGGGAGGTTGTCTCAAAGACAGCTCTTAGTCTGGGGCCCATCTGACTTAAGGAAGGCAGTGAGGAGACCCCAAAGCAGATGAGGAAGGCACCAGAGGCAGGGCCCAGGGGAAGAAGGCAAAGCCCCAAATACCAGAGTCAGAGATGTCGTCCCAGTAAGGAGAGTCAAACTCGTACTCGGCCTTCAAAATCTGTTCAAAGAGTTTGGCATCATTCTCGTCATAGAAGGGGGGGTAACCGCAGAGCCTGGGCAGGGAGAAACTCATCCTCATTTTCCATTTTCAGTGTACCCACTGGCTCCTGGATGGAGCTTCGGGGCAGTCCCAGGGGTTAGGCAAGACCCACAGGAAGGAGTTCCCCCTTTTACAAAGGGGGCTGAGGGAATCTACCCCTCTCTGCCTTGTTCACCCCGTCCAGTTCTACTTTCTATTCCTTAACATGCCACCATCCTTCCTTCCTCGGGGCCTTTACACTTGCTATTCGTGTCTGGCTCACTCACTTCATTCAGGATGCCACTCAAATGTCACCTCAGAGAGGCCTTCCCTGACCTTTTCATCTAAAATGGCATCCATCGCCCTCTCCCTACCCTGCTTCATTTTTCTTCATAGCACTTTTTACCACCTGACATTTTATGGATTTATCTACTTGTTGTTTACTTGTTTATTTACTTGTCTCTCTGCCCTACTAGAGCGTCTGCTCCCTGAGGGCAGGCACTTTGCCTGTTTTGTTCTCTGCTAAACACCCAGTGCTTGGTGCAATGTCTGAAACATAGTATCTATTGAATGAAGTAATATTAGTCATTAATTGGTAGACAAAAATGTGGAGGTCAGGAAGGAAGAAATTGCAGAGGAGAGGAAGAGAGCAAAGTAGGGGAGAAGAGAACTCTGGAGCCATACACCCCAATGGCCAAGACCCCACTCACAGGATATAGGCAATGACTCCAATGGACCAGCAATCCACTGCCTTGCTGTAGGGTTTCTGGGCCAGGACCTCAGGGGCTATGGAGGGAAGAGGACATGGTGGTGACAAATCTCTGCCCTGCAGCTCCTGGTTCCTCCCCTGCCCATGGTCCCAGCCCAGGGCCCTCCGCACCCACGTATCCTGGAGTCCCGCAGGCCGTGGAGAGTACACTGCCAGGGTCCTCCATCTTGGAGAGGCCAAAGTCAGAGATCATGATCTTGGAGTCTTCATCCAGGTTGTAGTACAGCAGATTCTCTGGCTTAGAGGACAGGAGGGAGGGGAAGGGGCAGTCAGAGATGGCCAAGCATCCCCTGCGAAACAATGGGCCCCCAAAAGCCTCTATGGCTTCACAGCTGCTATCTTAGTTGGAGGCACAAGAAACTCAAGGAGGTTCTCAAGGAGGTTAAATGTTATAGAAAGGACAAGGACCATGAAGATGTGGGAGGGAATTTTTCTGTAAACCTCAGGTATTTACTGTGAAGCCCTAAGGAAATAATATTTGAGCACCTACTGTTTGCCAGATCTTGTGCTAATGCTTGATTTCATTGCATCCTTACCACATCGCTATCAGGCCAGTCTGAATAATCCCACCTTACAGATGAGGAAACCGATGCCTTGAGAGGAAAAGTGACTTTCCTGAGAACCTACAGTTAGGGAGTAACAGGGCCAGGATTCAAACTAGATCTGGCCTTCTAGACTGGAATGAGATGTACTACCCAATGTGAACCTCTTCATAATCTCTCAGAATTAGGATTTCAGGGGTTTCTAGATTTTTTTCATTATGTTTTGCTCTCCCATCCAAGTTTTCTACAAAGAGCAAGTGGGAATTTTATTATAAGAAAAAGACACAAGCCATTATTTGGATAAAATGACAGTAGAGTTCACCTTTGTGTCCATTTGAGTGTCTGAACTGGAATGGGAAGAGGCAGTTTAGGGCTTACAAGGTCCATTTTGCAGATGGGAAGCCAAGGTTCAGGAAAGGGGTGAGAGTTACCCAAGGTCTCACAGTGAGTGTGCAGAGCCCCCACCCCTGGGTGCCCCAGCTCATCATACCCTCACACCTCACCTTGAGGTCCCGGTGTACAATGCCCAGGTCATGCAGATATTTGACAGCATCCAGCACTTGGAATATAAGACGGCTGGCGTCCCGCTCTGTGTAAAAGCCTTTTTCCACAATGCGGTCAAACAGCTCCCCTCCTGACACCCTGCAGCAGGGAACAGGGCAGTCTGGCCAAGAGAGCAGGAGAAGCAGGGAGGCTAGGAAGGGGGCAGCAGAGAGAGGTGTGATGAAGGGTTAGAGTTGAGGTCACTCACAGCTGCATGATGAGATAGAGGTGGCCCCCACTCTCATAGATGTCATCCAGGGCAACAATGTTGGGGTGCTTGATCCTGAATAGAGAAATGAGGTGGGTCAGAGCTGAGGACAGCTCAGCCACCTTCCCACCTTCACCTTGAAGGACCACCGCCTGAAATCTGGGTAGGATAAACCGAGGATCTGGATCCCAAAGGGAAAAGCTGATTTATCACAATGGGTTATAATGTATTAGAAGGCAGGAGAACATAGAGATAAACACTAGACTCTGGCATTGGACAGACTTGGGTCCAAACCTGCCTCTACTACATGCTATTTGGGGACAAGTCTTTTCACCTGACAGTGCTGATCAACATGATTTTTAAAATTTTTCTGTGTTGGTAAGTCTGTCAGTTTACAGGACACCAGGGGCTTTATCTTGCTCACCACTGTACCTCCTGGACCTGGTGCAGATTAAGTGCTCAGGAACATTCACTGAATTGAGTGTAACCTCTCTGAGCTTCAGTTTCTTATCTATATACTAGAGACCCGAAGCACGAAATTCGTGCAAGAGTAGGCCTTCGCAGTCCTGGCTGCCTCAGCCCTCGCAGCCCTGGCTTTGTCTGGAAGGTCATCTGGGTGGTCGTTCCGCTGTTCGGTCGATTTGTATATTACACTTTTATTATCTATATATATAGAAGCCTAAGCAACCCTTATGACCGAACAACTGGAACGACTGGTCGCTATGATGCACACTGACCACCAGGGGAAAGACGCTTAATGCAGGAGCTGCCCCCTGGTGGTCTGCCTCTACTACATGCTATTTGGGGACAAGTCTTTTCACCTGACAGTGCTGATCAACATGATTTTTAAAATTTTTCTGTGTTGGTAAGTCTGTCAGTTTACAGGACACCAGGGGCTTTATCTTGCTCACCACTGTACCTCCTGGACCTGGTGCAGATTAAGTGCTCAGGAACATTCACTGAATTGAGTGTAACCTCTCTGAGCTTCAGTTTCTTATCTATATACTAGAGACCCGAAGCACGAAATTCGTGCAAGAGTAGGCCTTCGCAGTCCTGGCTGCCTCAGCCCTCGCAGCCCTGGCTTTGTCTGGAAGGTCATCTGGGTGGTCGTTCCGCTGTTCGGTCGATTTGTATATTACACTTTTATTATCTATATATATAGAAGCCTAAGCAACCCTTATGACCGAACAACCCGAACGACTGGTCGCTATGATGCACACTGACCACCAGGGGAAAGACGCTTAATGCAGGAGCTGCCCCCTGGTGGTCAGTGCACTCCCACAGCCAACCTCCCTTGGCCGGCTAACCTCCCATAGTCCCTCTCCCTTGGCTGGCCAACCTCCTGCGGTCCCTCCCCCTGGTCAGGCCCCAGGCTGGGACGAGGAACTGGGGGTGAGTGGTGGTGGACGGCCAACCTCCCATGGTCCCTCCCCCTGTCCCTCCCCACAGCCAGCAGGCCCTGGTGGTGGTGTGGCAGTGAGGGAAGGAGGAGGGGGGGGGGCGGGGAACTGTGTGGTGGCAGGGCACTAACGGTGGTGTCCAGCATCCATTCCTTCCACACCTGGCCTGGCAACTGTCCCTCCTCTCCCAACCCCGTCCGGCCCCTGATCCTAGGGACCCCATCCGTGCACAAATTTCATGCACCAGGCCTCTAGTTATAGATATAAAAGCCTAAGCGACCATTACAACTGAACGACTGGTCGTTATGATGCACACTGACCACCAGGGG